TCTTTTGAGTTTTAAAAATCATAAATGTGACTTTTCATATAACTTGAGGACAAGTTACAAAAACACATTTTATGAACAACTTTTAGATCAATTTGGATTGAAAACACATTATCACATAACTTTTCTATTAATCGAAGCTAACTCATAAGAACAAGATAATTCAAATCAAACAATTTTCATGTAATTAGCCTAACCACTAAACTAATACAAAACATGAATCTATTGACAATTATCTTTTGAATTGGATTAGCATGAACATTAGCACATAAAAAACAGGTTTATAAGTTCAAAAACAGCTTAGGGTAATGTTCCTAGTCCAATTCCAGCCAAAAGACTCAAAGATATGCTGTCAGGGGGTCCAACTCGTCGAGTGCATGAACCAACTCGACGAGTTGGATGATTTTACACATGCACTCGTCGAGTCCCTTAATGGACTCGGCGAGTCAGCAGCCCAGAACAGCAAAAACTTCGTTTTTCAGCAATTTGCTTCAAGTATAAATGAAAACAAGCCTTGGCTTTGATACCACTGATGGGTTTTGGTATAATACAACATCCTATGGTGCACATACAACCCTAAAAGCCTTGGATCTTTGTTTTCAGTAATTATACATGCAAATGGTTTCCAAGGCATTAAACCTATAACTAGCATGAAATTTAACATAAACAATACATGATGCTAGTTAAGATAACATACCACTTTGTTGTAGCTTGATTCCATGGAGCTTAAGAGCCGAGTGCCCCAAGTGTGACACCTCAAATGGTTCACACAACATCAACAACAACTTGGAATAACTTGAGAGAAAAGTCCTTATGCTCAAAATCGACTAGCCCTCTCATATGAACCCTTTAGGTTCCGATTTCTTGAGCCATGGGGTCCTTATATATTGTGGCTACTAGGGTTACACTATGTAACTCATGTCTTTCCATATTCGTCATGCTCCATGGGTTAAAACCTCCATGGCGTATCCATGGGTTACTCCATGGGTTTAGCCCAACGTAAAGAACTATGGATCATAAGCCCACCTATATAAGAATGAATGATTTACACAATCAATCTCCATATATTTAATTAGTGTCTTTTGATCACAGAATTAATTCCAAATTAATTCTTGATCAATACTAATTAAATAATATGATTTCATATTAATATATTAGAACTTATAATATGTTAATAAATCATATATATCCTTTTCTCACAAAAGTCTATCCAAATTGTTCTGATGCCATGCAACCCAAATAGACCATGCCAAGACGGGTCGAATACATACCAATAATAGTTATGGGCTTAGACATCTAATCCAACATTTACGACTCGCATTTACGATGCTTATTTACGACACTAAATGCGTATCAAGGAAGGCCCTGTCATAAAGCAAGACGACACACATTTGCGTGTCGTAACCTTACGGCGCACCTTTAGGACACACATTGCGTATCATTTAATCCCCTGTCATAAATGAAGATGACACGCATTTACGTGTCATAAAATTCAGCAACCATTTACGATATACATATACGATGTGCCTTTACGATACTCTTTTACGCATAATACAAAAATATAGAAACAAATATATACCAAAACAATCAATTTCATCCAATAACATCATGTCAAAAAATTGTAATACATTGATATTAAAGGGATCTGATTGTACATTGTTATTAAGAGGTTTTCCCTAACTATATAACCTAATACTACATTGCTATAAAGGGGCACCTTCTTGTTTCAGTAAAACGTCATTAAGATGTCTGAAGAAGCTCTAAAACCCTTCATATATCCAACCAATCATCATGTCTCTTATCTTCAATATCAATCCCAACTCTTGATCAAGAACAACATGGAAATCCTACACAAATTGTCTACAACAAGTCAAATGGATTATTCAACAAAATTTAATAAATAGTTTTGTACTCATATTTAATATATCACAGCATATCATATATGACGCAAGTGATGCAAAATAAAGAGTCAATCTACCCTCTACAAACTAATTTCTATTGAGGTTTACTAGCTAATAGTTGTGAACAAGCATGTCTTAACCTTAATAATAAGTTGACATTAATAGTAAGAAGAAGATTCTGAGAGATACAAGTACCTTCCCATAACTTGTATAAAATTTCTATTGAGGTTTGCTAGCCCCTAGGTTTTATATATAAAATTTTACTCACATCAAAATCAAATTATTAAGATTTAAAGGTTACATTACATGAATGATTTAACCTTTCCTTGGTCCTTAGTCCTTCCTTACCTGGGTTGATCGTATTGGGAACATCACGTTGGTAATCTCCAACAAATCTAGCCACCTAACCATACTCCTGCACATATCCACATAGAGAAAATAATTAAAACATTTACCATGCTCCTAAATCACATGGTATGTTCTAAAGTATACAAATAATATCTTTAAACTGTAATAAATAAATAAATAAATACCATATATTTTTATGTACAAATTGAGGAGATTATTTTGGCTACACTTGGGAATTTTGCATTTCTTGGAAGAGAAACAAGATTATTCTTGTTAGAAATGAAAATAAAGGATCTTGATGATCATACCAAGGATTTTCTCAGGTCAGTTGGTCAAATTTGCTTTCTTTTTTGCTTCGAAGGTACACCATTAATTTATAAATCTTTAATAAATTTCTTTTCATTTTCTAATTTATATTACATATTTACTGTAACTAAACTATAAAAGTGAAAACTTACCACATGCAATTCACCTTTTTGTCCATAACGAGGTGGACATGGCTTAGGACGAGAACCGCTTTCAATTGATCCAATATAAAATGGAAGCAAGGTGTCAACTATGTAGCTACTACCACATGAAGAAGAAGTGCCAGGTGGGAATGACCCTAGTGGTGGGATGGCTTTTTCACCACATTTATAACCACCCCCACCCCCAATCTGTCCCAGGTGGCAAAGACGTATATAACCTTATCCATATATAATCTTTTGTTCCATTTCCTTTTTCACCAAGTGTGTTGTCGTTTTCTCAAAGTTTTTCAAACATTTAATATTATTGAAATTGTTGAATATTGTGAAACTTGTATTTCTGCCAACCCAAGAATCAAATTAGTTTGTCTGCATATTTTCAGCCAAATATAAGAAATTTGAGGAGTATGTATACATGTCATTTATATATATATATATATATATATATATATATATATATATATATATATATATATATATATATATATATATATACCTAGAGATGACTCTTTAAGTGGAATAGAGTAAGCCCTTGAATTCCCATTAGCTTCAAAACTGATTTTGTAGTAGCCTCTAACAAAATATAGAAAAATCCATAAGCTTCTTTTTTATTTCATTTCTTATGTTTCATAAACAAAAATTTTAGGAATACACTTACTATTAGCTCCTCCAAGCTGGTTGACTGCTTCTGTGAACCGGTTCATGGAGATCTGGTGTCCATTTGAGATTACCAATACTTAAAACATTTACAATGCTTTCGTTGTGGTAAACTTAGATGCATTGTGTGCAAAGGATGTGTGGGAATCAAGCTTAGGAATCAAAAAACTATGAATTAGAATTAGGAGAGTTTACTATTGATTACCCAACCCAATATATGATCAAATGAATCTTAATTGTGTGTCTGCCGCTGCCAGCATTACCACAAGTACAATCTGACATCATCATTAAACATGCATTTTATAAAGTCAGCTACATACCTACCTACCTAATACTGATTGCTCAAACAAACATTTATTCATTAACCAACGAATGAACTAGTGTAAAAAATATAATTAAGCACTTGGGATTTATAATTCTTGGGTATTGGATGAAGTTTAAGTGCCCACATAATCAAAACCATCATAGTCCCACACCCAAATTGAAACGTGGTCACTGTCATTGGGTATGGAAAAACCTTAAGAACCTGTATCATGTATCATGTATGAAACAAACCAAATTAGTCTCGTCAATTTGTTCTTATTAACACACAAAAGCACAGTTTAATTAATTTTTGACATGTTTGTTGAAGATGTTGAGGTAGATGTTCAAAAGATACCACACTCCAAACATGGCTGCCAGCTATAAATTTCGGCCAAGCTCAGCTGGATTTACTGACTCACCGGAGCTTTCAGCAGCCCTAACCACCACCAAATCTATAAACTCATCTGTAGATTCATTCTATAAACTCAGCATCCCTTATAATTAACATTAAATAGATTTTTAGGGCTTTAACTTTAACCTTAACATTTCTTCTGCTATGATTCCACCAAGTACATCTTTATACTTAACATTAAAAACTGGATCATCAAGTCACACGCATCTAGTCTAAATGGATTAAGCCTTAAAACCTTAAGAAATAGACAATGTAACTATAATCTTTAAGACATTATAACTGGATTTCATTATATCCCATGTGTCTGTATATTACATAAAGAACCCAAGAAAAAGATTAATGCAACCAATTTATAGATTCTTTAACCCATTATTTTATCAAGGACATGCCTTCAAGTAACAAAGTGACTAGTATCATCATTCAAATTCAAAAGGAAAGATTCATTGATCAAAGATGTCAAGGCACACAATTTTAAAGTTTCCCAAAACGTGGAAATATAATATGGGCCTTGTAAAGAAACTTAATCTTCCTACAAACTTTGGGCGAATTTGAAAAGTACCTATCTCTAAAAGCAAACGATGAGATATACATGATATGATCAACAAGAGAACACCAAGTAAATTGTTGTCAGGAGGCCAAACGAAAGAAACCCTATTCATAAACCCCTGTACTAACAACTATCTAGAAGAAAATGACCAAAGAAAAACCTTCCTTTGACCAAAAGACCCCAAGATCAATCAATGATCAGTAATTCAACGTACCTTATGTTTTTTTAGCAGAACTGATCTTCATCTCCTTGAGCATATCATCATATCTTTCTTGGTTCTTCTTTTGTTATGCAAAAGAAACATTATCAGACCCTGCACCATTGTTGTCCACCAACTTCATTAACTCTCTGTCGCTGTTGAAAGACCTAGCTTATTTCTTGTTCAACACATCCCAGAAGAAATCAGTAAGAACAGATTCATAACCAGGCATCTTCGCGTATCCAGGGAAGTAGTTGATGTCAATAACAAGGTATCTGTTCCCAACTTTTGTATCCCTGATGACATCGAAATTGAAGAGGCGAGGTTTCATTGCCTTGCGCAATCCACGAGCAATGTTGGTTATTAGACTCATCAGTGACATCTCTGCATCTTCCAAATCCATCCTCTTATAGTACTTATCATCGTTTCTGTCATGTGAAGTCAGGTTAGAAACCTGAGAGAATGATAAAGAACCATGCAAACTCTCCAATTTCTCTTCTACAATATCCGACAACGATTTCCGTTTAACGCATTTCACATACTTCCCGACGACGTACACTTTGAAGATAACCCCGCTATGGTTCACAAACTCCTGCAGAACAGTAGGGGGTTTCAGTTTAGGGGCAGCGGTGCGTGGGATCTGAGTGGGGACAGAGGGAGTGGTGATGATAAGAGAGGTTTGGAGGAGGCCATTGCTGATAGAAGTAGAACCTCTCCTTTGGGACTTGCACCAATCGAATAATCCTAATCATAGGTCAATTTCGTTTTCGTTTTTGTGAGGGTTAGCGAGTCGGTTTCCTTGAGGATGGGGTGACAGAGCTGCAAACGGTGATGGTGGATGAAGTGTTGGTCGATAAGGCCGGTACATCGTCATCGTGCCGGCTTGAAGAGTCGGTGTGGGTTGGAGGTAGTGGAGGTGGGTGAGAGGCGGAGACGAAGGAGAGGAGATATTAAAGAACAGATCGAAACGAATGTAGGAGAAGTGTTTTCCCTCTAAGAAGAGAGACGCGCGTTTCTTAAAAAAATATAAAACGACATTCATAGAGGACGTACATTTTAGATAAAGTGCCTTCCTTGTTTTTAATTTTTTTACATTAGACACTAATTTAAGGGCACACAATAATGCGTGACCTAAATCCTTAAATTTTTTGAAGAGATGACACTTTTTTAATGTCACTCTCTTTTGCGTAACATAAATCAATGAGTGTTGTGGTTTGCGCGTCGTAAAAGGGTCTTTTTCTTGTAGTGTGAGAAAAAGATTAATAATAAGAATGAAAAGACTGTATGTATTACATCAATAACAAACCTTGTAACAAACGAATCCAAAACTTTATAGCGGCAATACATCCATTAGTATTCTCTCCAAGTAAATAAGATTATGCATACATATAGGTAAAGAGATGTTATGAGGAAACCTTGATAGTGCAATGACCATGAAATACCATGGAGTATATATAAATTAAAAAATAAACATGATTTAATTAATTTGTTTCATAAATATCATAAAGTATATATAAATTACAAAACTTTTGAATGGTTGTTATTAATTATGTGGAAAATGAATAGTTTTAGAGGTTTCAATTGCATTTGCTTCAAGAAAAATTGTCTCATTTATAAGTATACTAGGTGAATGCCCGCACGTTGCGCATGAACACCTATATAGTTGAAATCTTTACAAATATATGTTTTCTTTAATAGAACAATAACGTTGTTGTCAAATTTGATATAATAATTCATATAATAAGTTGATATAATATATTGATTATTTTGAATTATATGATAATATATACATCTATTAAAATTGCATAATCTCAATCGTTTGAATGATTTCTACCCGTAGGTTACTCATGAATTAAAATAAAAAAATAATATATGGATTAATGTTATATAGTTGTTGTTATTGTTAATTAATTTTTTAAAATTTATTAGCTTAACGTTTTAATTTCTATCATTGTAATTATTTAAAACATCAAACATTGTTTTTTTGTTTTTAAAGGTAAAAATATAATCTTTTATCAATAGTTATTTTTAACTATTGTTATTGTAAGATATTTTATGCTACTTATTTTGGAAACTTCTAATGATTATAAAAATATCTTTAACAAATCTTTTAGTATAATATGTTTAAAGTGAAAGACATAACTTTATAAGTAAAAGTAAATATATTATTTTAATATTAAAATTTAGTTTACATATTATTATACTTTAGGTTAGATATTTAGTTAACCTTATTAACCTACTTATAATCATTATTTGAAAGAAATTAAAAAGTCATGAGAGTTTCAAATGAATGTGGTGAAAGGAAAAATTCTTCCTTTATAAGTATACTAGGCGAATGCCCGCGCGTTGCGCATGTTAAGAAAAAATATTTTATATTAAAAATAACTAAATCATTTTTATTAACAATTAAATAATAATTGCATAAAAAAATATAAAAAATGATTTTTAATATTATCATTATGTTGAACTATATCATAAGAGATAAGGGAACTCGAAGTTGTTGTGAATATATAGAGTTATATAGTTAAAATAGAAAAAAATTATAATTTTTTTTAAAAATAAATAAATCATTATTGTTATCTATTAATTAAAAATTTCATATTAGATTAAAACGTTTACATTAAATATTATCATTATGTAGAACATACGATAATAGAGACATCTTTTTATATATCTTAAATATTATCATTATGTACAACATATGATAATAGATACATCTTTTTATCTTAAATAGTAAATTAAAATTTTTTTGTATCATAAATATTACTATAATTATGTAGAACATATGATAATAGCGACATTTTTTATATTAGAATTTGAAATTGTATTACATACAGGGTTGTAAAACTTGGCTAACACAACCAAATACACGACATGTGTAACGTCCCAAAAATATGGTCCAAAAATTTCATTTTTAAATTCAACAAAACAATATTCCAAACATTAACCATACATCCCATATTAAACAAGTGTATCAAGTAACATAAAAATCAGAGTGGAATCACAAATGCAGAATCCATGTGGTGTGTGCGATGCAGTCAACTGGAGCTCTTCCCTTTGGAACCGGAAGTACCTGAAACATAAATTGAAAACCTTAAGCACAAGATTAGTCAGTTCCCCAAACTACTCCATACCATACATAATAAAACATATATCGGGCCCCCGCCCTACATTGGGCCCCGCCCTCCATCGGGCCCCGCCTGACATTGAGCCCCGCTCGGTATACAGATATGTTATTCTTAGGCACCGTATGACATCGGGCCTCACCCACTATACACATACAATACATATCACATAATAATGCTAACACATACAATATCATAAAACAATAGTATACGTTTCAGGTATCGGGCCTCGCCCGACATCAATCCCCGTCCGGTATACATCGTAAGAAATAACACATGTAAGGGTCACGCAGACTCCTAGCATCCTAACATAACAATAAGGGCCGACATTTGTGCCTTCGACCTGTTCAACCCGGTGAGGGAAACTCACCTCGAATGCTGAAATTTACTGAAGATCCCTGGCTGTTCTCCTGACGACTCCCCGAGCTATCAGTACAAAATAACACCCGATTAACTCTTGGGTTCCAATCTATATACAATAATCCATACTTGGGGTAAATAGACCATTTTACCCCTGGCCTACTTTGATCCATGAATAAGGCCCAAATCTACAATATAAAAGGCCCAAAACCAAATAATCATCCAAGGCCCACTTATGGCCCACTTTTCTAAATTGGGCCCAAACCTCATATATGGGCCTTACCCTAAAGCCCAATAATTTTCGTTAGCCTAAAGGCTTGTTTTCAGATGGCCCATTAAGGCCCAAAACAACAAGGTCCAAAGAAATGGCACAACCGAGGCCCAAATGATGCGAATCCCAATCAGATTGAGTACACGGGGCGTACTCAGTGGTACGATAAGCGTACTCGCTAATTGGCTTGTATGTTGCACGTACAGACTTGTACGCCTAGCATACTCCTCCATTAAGCCAAATTTGCCATTAAGCTCTTAATGCTTAAGTCCAACGGTCCAAACCACAAATCTGAGTCCAAAAGTGCCTAGAACCATAAAGTAACTGACTTGGTGACTTTGCATGCCCCAAAAGCTTCCAACTTCGAAATTTGGCACTCGACTTCCATTAAATGAACTCAAACTCATGTATGGTGAAATCTAAGCCTTAAAGATGTCAACTTTATGAGTCTGGGACCATTGAATCACCAAGAGTGGCAACTCGAAGCTCCTGGAGTGGTATCAAACCACTAGATCTCATCCATGGGACCAAAAAGAGTCCAAAACTCAAAGAAGGAAGATCTAAGCTTCTAAAGAACAAGATCAAAGCTTTATACCTCAAACAAGCTGGAAATGAAGCAATAGGTCGAGATCCACAAGCTCCTTCTTGATCCACCACCTTGCACCAAGCTTCTACTTCTTGAGTAGGGAGCAAAATACAGCAAAATGGACACTATAAGCTCAAAAGGCAAGAGAGAGGCTTACGGTTTCAAATATGATATTTAAGGGACTGGGGAGGCTGAAAAATGACGGTTTCTTAGGCCATGATGATGAATATATAGTGTCCACACCCGAAATTAGGGTTTTCAAAATTGCCACGCACCCCACGTACCTATACGTATGCCCCACGTACATGTCTGAATGCTCAACTAACCCTCGCATGAGTACGCTAAGTGTACCATGTCGTACGCCCTGCGTAATCGCTTTGTAGCTTGTACGCCAAGCGTACCATGTGGTACGCCCCGCATGCAACATAAGGACCAATGTGCAATTTATTAAACACTAAAGGGCCAAAAATAACATATCAGGATTCCAAATGTTACAATTCTCCCCCACTTGAATCAGACTTCGTCCTCGACGTCTGCTGCCCCAAACAACTCCTGATAGTGATTTCTCATCTAATCCTCGGGCACCCAAGTCCATTCCGACCCCTTGCGGTGCTGCCACTACACCTTCACCAGCTCGACTACCTTGTTCCTCAAGGTTTTCGTCTTCCGATCCAAAATCGCCACTGGTCTTTCAATATAATTCATGTAGTCATCTACCTGAATGTCCTCCAAAGGTACCACTGCGGAATCATCCACTAAAGACTTCCGCAACTGAGAGACATGAAACATGTTATGAATCTGACTGAGCTCATCTGGAAGATACAATTGATAAGCAACCCGGCCCACCCAAGGCATAACCCTTAAGAGACCAATATATTTGGGGCCCCAGCTTACCCCGCTTCCTAAACCGGATGACACCTTCAGGAGAACCATATGTCCCACCTGGAACTCTAAGTCAGACCGGCGCCTGTCGGCATAACTCTTCTTGCGACTCTGAGCTGATTGGAGCCTGCTCCGAACCTACTGAATCAGCTTAGTGGTCTTGAGCACCACCTCGGTACTCCCCATAACCCGCTGATCGACCTCGCCCTAATAAATCGAGGTCATGTACTTCCTCTCATAGAGCATCTCAAAAGGAGGTTGATCGATGCTGGCATGATAACAATTGTTATACGAAAATTATGCTAATGGAAGATACATACCCCAACTCCCACCGAAATCCAACACGCACGTATGCAACATATCCTCAAGAGTATGGATAGTCCGCTCACTCTGACCATCTGTCTTTGGATGAAATGATGTTCTAAAATGGAGACGAGTGCCCGACTCGTCATGATACCTCTTCCAAAACCTGGAAGTAAATCGAACATCCCTGTGAGAAACCACTAATAGTTGCACTTCATGACGTGTCACCACCTCCCTGATATAAACCTCGGCCAATTTCTCTGTAAAAATACTCTCCTGAACTGGAATGAAATGAGCGCTCATGGTCAAATGATCCACAATGACCCATATCAAATCCACCCCGCGTG